GATGGAATAAAAGAGTCCACATTTAAAAAAAATATATTTGCAATTTGAGTTATCTATCCTGAGATATCTTGCAGCATAATTTTCAAGAGAAGATTTTCTGCAATTTGTGAATATTAATGTTCTCTAAGCAGTGGTCTGAGAATGACCATACGGTCACTACATCGATAGCTAAAATCAAAACCAAGGCTGCACACCTCCACTTTTGTATTTGTTATATTAATCCAAGCCCTGTTTTTGCCACTGAGACACAGCAATGCACTATTGTTTATGAGTTGAACTAGCTTGAAGTTTCTTGAAATTTTGGAATACTGTTTTTTCTCCTCACATTTTCTTCATATATCTCCTTTTATTTTAGAAGCTAATATGGGGCAACCAATATTAATTCAGAGATGATAACATACTTTATAAAGTAATAAGGATATTTATTTTGGGGTTAGTTCCAGTAATAAACTATCACGTGCTGTAACTCATTTCATTTCTGGTTAGAGATTAATTATGTTCTGGCTGTATTTTACATTCTGGACAGCAGCCCAGCTATAGGTGAGTAAACATCAAGGGTCGGGCACAGTTTTTAAATTAAAATAAAGCTGTAGTGTGCTTTAATAGACTTGTAAAATTAGGTCAGACCCATAGAAAGTGATTTTCTTCTTTGTTTTCTTTGATAAACGAAGATTACACAGATTTTTTTGTTGTTGTTTTCTTGTTTCAAAAACACTTGCCATTCATTTCTTTTAGGAGGCAGAAATTCAAGTTTGTTCAGGACATATCCATGAAAACAATTAATGCACAGCACTGTAATACCTGACAAGTACTAAATCCATTTATGCACCTGCAATAGAAAAAAATCTACTTATTTTCTAGTAGGTAACAATTGCTCTGAAAATCTGCAGAACCCTGTTGGAGTGTGTTTGTGATGAAATTTAATATCATCAAATCATTTCTATCCTTCTTTGGGTTTTAGAGTATTATTTACTTGAGTTTTCTTTATTCTTCTAATGATCATTTCTTTACAGCAGAGATGATCCTTTCTGCAAACAGTTGTATTCTGTTCTCCCCTTATCTTTTCTCTCTATTTACAGAAAGCAAACAGGGGAAAAAAAAAAACCTCAGGCCACAAAGCAAAGGTTAACTTCTGGGTCTGGGAAGATGCAAACCCAATAAAAATGTTATTGAAAAGTAGCCTTAAAAGACTACTTTCCTGTTGATGCTCTAGTCTTAGTCATTTCTGGCAACACACAGATTCCATAGGTAGATCCAGTGCAACCACTAGGCAGATTTCTTACAGGCTTGCACCTTTGTCTTGTAATTTGAAGACAGCAATGAGATGGCAGGGTTGGGGCTTTTCCTTCCTTCACCCCACTGCAACAGAACTTAAATTCACCAACCAGAAATTATTATACTGGTCTTATGAATCTCAAGGGCTCTCAAGCCAGTAGACTTACTGCTCAACGAGGGTTAGAATCTGATCTCAAGTTGAATTCTGTATTTCTGACATGAAAAAGACTACACAGATTATATAAGAATTCTGTTCACCAACTTGTACATGTAATTCATTGCCCAGTCCAGTAATAAGCTGCATCTAGAAAGTTAATTTCTTACAATTTTGATTAAAAGACATAAAAGGAAATCTCCTCAGACCAACCATGAGTTCAAGTGTGTTAAGTACATACTTAAAATTCCCCCAGTAATGTCGTACACACTACAGCTGAAGAACTCAATGTCTCTTAAAACTACAGCAAATTACTTTCTGATATTTAACATATTAGGAGACTACATTGATGGGCTCCTGTGAGGAAAACAACTTTCAAGGAAAGAAAAAACATTTTAATAACTAGTAAATCAAGTATTCCTCCTTCAGTAATTAATTCCCTCATATGCAGTGGCTAATCACTCAGGTGTGGTATGAACTACCCTTCCTTCATAGCCTTTGATAACTACTTGCAGGTTAATCTTTATAAGATTAACATTTTTCTCATTCTGTAGGATGAGGAAACTGGTACATTTTTCAAACTCTCCCTTGAAGGTACTCATCTCTGCTGAGAGTCTCAGTTTGAAATTGTTTTATGTAGCAGTGTATTTGAAATCAAATTTTGTGAGCTCTGGAAAAGCAAGAAGTGTCCATCGGAACCATCCATTGTCTTGAGGTTCAATCTAGCAAGCAGAACTGGTAGTTTGAAATAAAAACTATGAATTGTGGAGAGTTTATTCTGCTCCTCACCCAAGACTTCCAGGTCAGGAGGTAGAGTACCCCAGTGATAACTGGTATGAATTTTAAAGACAGATGTAAAGAATGTGTTGAGAACCTCAGCCTTTTCCTTATCCTCAGTGATCACACTCTCTGCAGTATTCAGTAAAGGATGAAGGTTCTCCTTAATCCTCCTCTTACTGCTAATATATTTGTAAAAAAGTTTTTTTTCCTCTCTTTTCCCCCAACAGCCATGTTGGGGTAAAGCTGGTCAAGCTGGGCTTTTGCCTTTCTAATTTTCTCCCCACACATCCTAACAAATTCTTCATACTCTCCCCAAGTTGTCCGTCCCTTCTTCCACAGGAGGCAGATTCTCTTTTTCTCCTGGAGCCTTTGGAAAAGCTCACAGTTTATCCATGCTGGTCTTCCTCCCTGCCAGCTCACCTTGCAGCTCAGGGGGACAGCCTGCTCCTACACATTTAGGACTCCCTTCTTGAGGGGCTATCAGCCTTTCTTCCCTTTATCCTTCAGGAAAGAATCCCAAGGGACTCTCCCTACCAGTGTCCTGAACTGTTCAAAGTCCACCCTGTGGAAGTCATAGAATCATAAAATGACCTGGGTTGAAAAGGACCATAATGATCACGTAGTTTCAATCCCCCTGCTATGTGCAGGGTTGCCAACCACTAGACCAGGCTGCCCAAAGCCACATCCAGCCTGGCTTTGAATGCCTCCAGGGATGGGGCATCCACAACCTCCTTGGGCAACCTGTTCCAGTGTGGTAGTCCAAGGTAGTAGTTTTGCTGCCCCCAGTCCTGACTTTACCAAGAACTGAGAACTCTACCACTTCATGGTCACTCTGTCCAAGACAGATCCTGACCTCTCTATCCCCAACTAGTCCTCTTCTGTTTGTGAACAGCAGGTCTGACAGGGCATGTCCACTGGTAGGCTCTCTAAGCTGTCTCAGGAAGTTAACTTCCATACACTCTAGAACCAGACTGCTTGTTCTGTGCTGCACTGTATTTCCAGAATATTGCTGGGAAGTTGAAGTTCCCATGAGAACAAGGACTGTCAATTACATAACTTCTGCCAGCTGTTCGTAGAATGCCCTCTTCATCCTGGTTAGGCAGTCTATAACAGATCCCCATCAAGATGTCCACCTTGTTGGTCCTCACCGTGATCCTTACCCACAGAGATTCAACCATATCATTTCTAGCCCTAAGCTCAACAACATCAAAACACTCTCTAGCATGGAGAGCCATGTCACCACCCCTCCTTCCTTATCTATCCCTTCTGAAGAGCTTGTTCCATCCATTGCAGCACTCCAGTAGTTTCCATAATGGCAACTAAGTCATAGTTTGCATGCTACACAATGGCTTCCAGCTCCTCCTGTTTGCATTGATGTAGATGCACTTCAGCTGAGCAGCTTGCCTCACCTCTAGTCCTGTCATTATTCCCCAAGACTCCTCTATAGGAGGCCTGGTTATATCCCCTTCCCTCTTCATACCTGGTTTAAAGCCCTCTCAAAAAACCCTGCCAGTCCTAGGGCTAGGATCTGTTTCCCCCTTTGAGACAGGTGAGATCCATCAACCATGAGAGCCATTTTACCATGGCCGAGTAAACTGCCCCATGGTAAAAAAAACAATGTTTACAATTGCACCAGCCTCTCAGCCATGTCTTTATGAGACGGGTTTTCCTGCCCCTCTCAGTACACAAAGGAATGTCTCTTCGGTCAGTTTAGGTTAGCTGACCTGTTTCTGTGCAGCAGTTTGTGCCCTCCAGTATTTTTGCTGGCAGGACAGCACAAAAAGCTGAGAAACTGAAATGCCTTTGGCTCTGTACAGCACTGCTCAGCAACAACTAAAACATTGGTGTGTTACAAACATTATTTTTCTCCTAACATGGAATACTGATAAACCAAGACTCAGTATCATACCAGAAGAAAATCAGCTCTGTCCCAGCTGAAAACAGGACATACCCTTACAATGACCCCTACAGTTTTCAGCTCCCAAGCACTGAGACAGAATTTACCTTACAAGTGAACACCTACATAAATTTCCAAAAGATTTTAGGGGTTTTTTTTTTAAAAGGTAAGCAATCATGTATGTGCTTAGTACCCTAAATAAGTGACCTTGCCTTCAGATGCAGTGAGTACTTACAGCCTGCACTGGAATGGAGACTACATAGATTTTTTTTTTTTTTAATGGAAAAATTAGGTTATTGTTTGCTGTACAGAGACATTTAAATCTGTTATCAGTTTTTGAAAAGCTTAGCCTAAGGATTTTTTGCAAGTCTAAGTACACATCAGTAATCATTACAAGCAAGTTAATGAATAGAAAACCAAAAAATGGGGAAGTAAACAAGGTATTTTCTTATGCACTTCATATTAAAAGTGCAGCAAATAATTTTACATGTCACATATAAAAAATAAGAGACCTAAACTCATTCCATCTTCGGGTATTCTGAATCTGAGAATAGCTATTGTAGAACTATCAATAAAATGTGTTCTGCTTCATTAAGACTTTATCATTGCAAATGATTACACTTCCTGGCAGAAATAGAAAATGTAAATGGTAAAATAGGTTGGATGCCCTTTGAGGATTCTTTTTCCCTCAACACCAAAACTGACTTCTGCTTTAATAAACTTTGAAAAGGGTAACAGCATATTTGTTTCAATACCAGCAAGTATTGCACAGGAATTACATGACATTAATTATGCTTCTAACTGTGGAATGATTAAACAAGATAGACTGCAATGATATGTTCATTCATATAATACATAATTCCCGAAATAAAGAGGAAAGATTTCCACACTGACCATAGTCTGTGTTTTCCGGCTCCCAACAATTTGATGGCCAAAAATAGGGTGTCTATAGACAAAACAAAAAGTAGGGAATTCAAGTTAGACAATGCATGCATTATACAGTTCTTGGATTGATACCATTTCTCAAAATTGATTTACATTTTTGGAAGATCTACTATAATATTAACTTGATGATTTTGAAATAGGCATCAAAATAGAAAATTACTTTTGTATGCTCATTTATTGCACTAGTGTCAGAATGGCATTGGAAAAGAAGAACGTGTTCTTTTTATTTTTAAAGTTAAGGGAACAAAAAATACAAGGTTATGTTGTGAGTTACTTTTTCATCTTCCCTAGCAACATACTCATCACATGACCTAACAATCAGCTTTAGAAGCAGAAAAGATGGAACATACTTTTGGATACATTGCGTTCTTCATTGTGTAGAGTTTTCTTTATTGTATGTAAATACTCAATACTGTTTTCTAGAAGCTTTTTGTTAAAAAATGCTAATTAGCATATCCAGTTTTTAGAGTTATTAAATTTGTTTTCATTTATGGAAGTCTTTTTTTTTCTAATTACTTAACGTCTTTTAAAATATGATTTCTAAATGGAAAGCCAATAAAATGATCAATAACTAGTTTAATACTATGATAATGAAAACTGCGAATTGCATTGCTAAAACATTTCTTGTCTACCAAATGAAGAATATAAAACAATATAAGGATATTTCACATCAAGAACTTCATTTTTAAAAACCTAAGTTTCTAGTGAAAATTTAAATGATTGTGATATTTATACTTAATGCATTATTTTATATGTATCCACCCACAAGAATTATATATAATTTGAGAAGCTGTATTAACCTAACTAAATATATAGACTAGTATGAGCAGATGTATTTCAAACTACAGATACCTCCTTGGGCTCACTTTCTGCTTCACTCTCTCTTTCCTGTTGTTTTTTCTCAAAGATCCCTCAGCTACACAAATGGAAACCTCTCTTGCTGCCCACTTATCTTAAAATTGTTTTAATGTTTATCCAGAAATCAACAGGACTGAAAGGTGACACATTTACACCTACTATCAGGTTAAACACACATTGTGAAAAATCTCTCCATTGTAAAAATGGCTTATCAACTTTAATAACTGCAATTTAAGACTTGCTTTTTACTAAGTAATAACAATGAGCTAAAGGATGAAAAAATAAAATCACAAACTAACTTTGAAGGTTGAGACAAGTTTCTTGCCATTTTTTTTCTTTCTCTCTAGTGGAGAAACAATAAGTCATTCTTCCTACAAACTATTCCTTCACTGTGCCACTAAAAGTGAGCACTATAAGCACAGATGGAAATAGAAAATAAACTCCTCAACAATAAATAGCAGCAGTCAGAAAATGCTGGAGAAGCAAGAAGGTACAAAAATAATTTAATCATGTAAATCATATAAAGCATAAAGTTACTTTCATTGAAGTTTTCAGAACTGGGGAGAGAGAGTAGTCCTTCCTTTGACACGAAGTGCATTTTAGGAGACGCCTAAGAAGAAAAGCTCAACAAAAATCTGCTTTCATTTGTCCAAGCTAAACTTATCAAGGAAGAATCCAACAAGGGGAAATATCAAATATGTAGAAACCTCACCCACTCAAACAGGTTCTGAGCTGAAACTGGCTAGAGTTCAGATATTGTCTGTGAAAGAGAAGCAAGCTGTGCTGGAGGAGGGCTAGAAAAAGATACAGCAAAAGAGCCTTTTCACTAGTAAAAAGGCAAAGATTCTTATGATTGTGAAAATACTTGCAAAATTTCTCATAAAAACTTTGGATTTCTCTTTAGAAATTAGATAAACAACCCCCACACACACTGATGATATTTGAAAAATAAATTCTGTCTTCTGATTTTAACCCAAACCCATGACATTATGAGCCAATGCCAATGCCTTTGCAGAGGTTATTTTAGGCATGGAAGGTCCCTTGGGAAACTTAACTGAGGGATGAAGAGGAGGAAGGGAGATCACAGTTATGGAAAGAGACCTTACTAAGTGTTCAATTACCTTTAGAGAGAAAGCACAGAGACAGACCAGTAAAATCACACCAGCAATCTCCAACTAGCTAAAGACAAAAAGAAATCATTCAAAAAGCAAATAAGAATATGTATGCTAGTAAGGGGGAGTCTAAGCTGTTCCCATGCCATCATCCCTCTGGAGATAAAAACAGAAGATAAAACAGAACGCATTCTTTAATTAGCAAAGTACACAAAAAATCCTTATAAAAGATTTTATAATGTGTTGTAAGGTAAGCCAAAAGAGAAAATTCACCACAAAAGAAAATACTGCAACATGGGAAAGGGGTTTACATAACAGTACATATAAGCACAGGAATGCATTCCTTGTTTGAGCCTCCAAAAGGAAGGTGACTGTGAAAGACAAGAACCTTTCTGCCAGGGAATAACAAGCAGGTATGAGCTCTCCTTGTTGCAGCTCTCAACTAGGCAGACGCAAGCAGCCTCCCAGCTGCAAGCTGTGACCTTGTCTGCATGGTGCATGAATGCATTTAATGGGACCTGCTGAGAAGCACAGCTCAACAGCTCTGGTACTGCAAGGTGGCCAGGGCTAGCCTCAAGCCAGCAGGCTCCTAGTGGGAACAAAGTTCAAGTCTCCTCACAATCAGTCACATGAATATGCCCCAAATTAATTTTTATATGAAGATAAGACTACAGGATAAAGTACAGGGAGAAAAAAACAACAAAAACAACAGGAAGAAAAATATTATATGAGCTCAGATTGAGGCCTGATAAAATATGTAACAGAATGCTTAAGGAAAATCATGTTTTCATGTGGGTAAACTGCAGGTTTATTCATAGAAAACAAAGCACAAAACAAAGACTAGATAACTATTATTCACTTTCAATGCAGGAAATGGCACTGGTGGAGGTAAAGACAAGAGAAATTCTCCTAAGGCCAGTCATAAAAAACGACAATAGAGGATAAGATTAAAACTTCAAAGGGAAATCTAAAACCCACACTTAAAAAAGCATGAACACTGGTAATGAAACTTGATATAAAATCAGATTCTATTAAAGAATTTTTATAATTCTGTGTTTCTGTGAAAAAAACAATAAACTTGTACATAGTTGAAATGACTTTTTCCCAAATATGTATGCAACATTTTCTTGCTTAACTGTTTGGTATTATCAATCATGAAGTTCTGGTCTTAATCTACCTTGCCATCTGTCATGCACAATGGATAAAGTGGAATACTTCTTGAAAAATGGTTATAATAGAAGAAAAGCTAGCTGAGAAAGGATCCAAAGACATATCACAAGTCTTTCACAATAGTACAATCAATAGTTAGAATAATACATTCTGCTTTCATGGGAATGGTTGTCAATGAGTCCCATTCAGGCTGGCTGCCTGATGCACCAGGTAGGTCCTTGCTATCTCTGCTCTCCAGAGGGATTATCCTTAGCATAGCTCTCCAACTAAACTTCTCAGTCCTAGTGCCACCAGCACAAAGATGGAGACTGAGGGTCTCAAGGACAGAGACTCACAGTCTGACAGCAACAAGACAAGAGGGAATGGCTCCAAACTAAAACAGGGGAGATTTAGATTTGGATGTTAGTTGGAATTCTTTTTTTGTTACTCAGAGGGTGGTGAGGCAGTAGAAGAGGTTACCCAGAGAAGCTGTGCATGGTCCATTGCTGGAAGTATGCAAGGCCAGGTTGGACAAGGATCCTGGGCAGCCAGGGTGGCAAGTCTGCCTGTGGCAGGGGACTTGGAACTAGATATTTTTAATGTTTCTTCCAACCCACGCCATTCAAATTGGTGATTCAAAACCTCAATTCTTCTAAAAACAAACAAGCAAACATCAAGAAAACACAGCAAAAGAAGTCTGGAGTATTACTTTGTCCCTTACATCTTATATGTTTTTCAGTTTATGCACATAACACATGGCTGCTTTCCTCCACTTCTATAACATAAGAGCTGAGTTCACATCTTTTCTCTTCTGTTCCAAAAGTCTTTAGACAGTTTCACAGTCCAAATATCTAATAACACCATAGAAGAATTTGCTTGAAAATTTATTTATGAAGACTACGTGACAATGCTTTTACCTTATTCAACAAAGAAAGATTAGGAAGCAAGAAAATATCAATAGAAAGAGCTCTGGTCTCAAGGAATGAGGTTAGGAATAAGAAGAGGAAGGATGTGCAAAGAAGAAAGCTGGCTGCTCTCCTCTGATCTACTAAAACAGCCCCACAGTCATGCAAGGAGACCCTGCCCACATAAATGAACTTATCTATATCTGGGGAATGCTAACAAAGATTGGTTTAACTATTTCTTACAAATTATATTTAGAGTATATTGTAGTATTATTACAATATCCATTAAGTACCACATAGTCCTATAATCCAAACATTATACAACCAGTGTACCCTGTCTCAAGATCTAGAAACTCTTCATACCTTATCCAGGAGTGTTTCAGATGAGGTATAAAATATTATAACTCAACATGACCATTTTCAAAGGCAAAATTATAAAATATGAATTAGCTTTCTTTGTGAAATGTAGAAAACCTGATGGAACTTTACTTTTCCTCAGCAGGAAATGTGAAGCAGTTCATCATGAAATAGTATTAAAGAGGGAACATTTGTCATTTTGCCATGACATCCCACTTATAGCCGGAAGGAAGGTGGGTGGTAGAACAGTTTGGAGAAAGTCAAGTACTGTTTATCAGCGCAGGCAGAAACAATGCTGCCAGTTTTTATCAGTATGCACTGATAAGGCACTTTGTTTAACTTTATCTGCAATTTGAATAAGCAACCAGTCAGCAGCTAGAGAAAAGAGGCTTACCAAGCACAATATGTGCTACCGTGGAACCATTTAAGCACTCAGAACAGAACAGGCTGTCATAAGGTTCTTCGTGACCATTGGCAGAGCACTGGTTTTGCACTCAAAAAAGCACTCTGTTTCTCTTGAAGTATAGACTAATATTATAAGCCAGTACTAACCACAGAAATCTATAATCCTCCTTCTAATAAAGTCACATGAAACAAAATCTCATAACATAGTGCCTATTCCACACTAAACAATTTGTTAGAAGTGGCTGTTATGCATGGTGAGAGATCCTGTGATAAAACAAATAGATCTGTTTTGGCTTTACTGTTAAATTAATCACTAATAATATGTGAAAAAATGAAACAGCCACTTGTGAAAATCAGTGTTGCCTGTCAGCCTTTATAGAGCATGATTAGTTTCTATGCATTAAACTGTATTACTGCAGAAAGAAACCATTAAGCATCTTTCAGCTACCGTTGCTGATAGTAGTAAGAAAAGAATCGTTTCTGAAGCTGCTCCACTCCATAACATTTTTTTTAAATTCAGTACCTGGAACACAGGAGAATATTCAAATCACCCATAAACCTTCCTTTGCATATTACAAAAATCACAGAGTCGTAGGGCTTGGAATGGACCTCTGGAGATCATCTTGTCTAACTTCCCTGCTAATGCAGGTTCTCTACAGTCGGTTACAGAGGAAAGCATCCAGGCAGACTCTGAGTATCTCCAGAGGAGACTCCACAACCTCTCTGGGCAGCCTGTTCCAGTGTTCTATCACCTTCAAAGTAAGAAGATTTTTCTCAAAGAATCACAGAATGTAAAAATGTGCCTGAGCAGATTAAAAAAAAAAAAAAAAAGAGAAAAGGGCACTGATAGGACAGGCAGGAAGACAAATGGTCTTGAAATGATTTTTCCTCTTTCAAATCTCAACTGCACTTTCATATGCTGTATATGAACTCAAGAGACAATAAATTAGTTCTTGCACTTGAAATTTCTAAACAAAATCTGTCAAGTCTGGATAAGATAACCTGCTTCTTTTTTATTGCAAAACCTGACTTCCAATAAAGCGCTTCTCTCAAGGCACAGATGTTCCAGCAAGACAGTGGACAATAGCTAGAGAGCTGAGATATTCAAACATACCTTAAACAGACAGAGGCCAGATTAGGACTGACTCCTGAGGTGGTTAGCTGAGCAGGGTGATTCAGTGATGTTGGCAGTAACACTGTTTTGCAACAGAGATATTAAAAGATCCCTACAATGACTGCTATATATAATTTCCACTACACACAGATATAGGAAAAACAGGTTGGAGAGTTAAATGTATTCATCAATAAAGTGTTACAGTGGTAGAAGACATCACAAATGAAACCATCTTGCCAAAAGCATGAATTTTGCTGCTATCTTTACCAGAATCAAGCTTTCACAATAATAAATTCTGTTCTCATTTCCACATCTGTTCTCACCTATGTATGCCTCCCAACTTAAAAGTCATAAAATAACAGAACCTAAACCTCATCTCTGAAAGTTCAATCTCTTAAAAAACAAGTGTGATTATCAAAAGCCTCAATATTCTAGGAGTTGGTTTAAAAACAAGAAGTATTAAAAAACACTACTTTCATTATGAATGTTGAAAGACCCTATGCTGAGTATGTAATTTGTAAAATAAATCAACATTCTTTCCCCAGGAAGCAATTACAGAAGCATAGTAGCTGAAAGGTTAAATCAAGGATTCCTCACCAGGTCAGCCATATTATCAGCTATGTGGATACTGATGAAAGGCAGTCAGTGAGTAATGCCTGGTCCTTAGAAGATCTTTCCAAAGTGCACTTTGCTTTTCTTATTTAAACCCCTTATACATATTAGCCTTTGAGTGCAGAAAGGTAGGAAGTAGATATTCAGTTCCTTCTTTTGGCCCCAGCTTTAAATAACATGCAAAGGCAATATGCCTTATGTTCAGAATGGTTCAAAAAGTGTCACTAAACCTAAGCTTTCACTTTGCTCTGTTGAGACAAAAACTCACCTCTCTCCAACTAAGGTAAATAATATTTAGACCTATACCCTTTGAGTTAGATTGCTATAGCAGGAACTGATCCAATTGAAACAAAATAAGTCAAAGAATGATTAGGAACAATCGTTTATTTCTAAAGCCACACTGTTTAAAAGAGCAGATAAAACTACAATTTTACAGCCATCTTAGTTGCAAGAGTAATAACTGAAAAAAGCATAATTTTGCCTGTAGAAGGGCATTTGTGCAAATGAAGCACAATCACTACTGCTTTTAGCTTCTTCTATACAACAGTAGTTTGTTTAAAACAAACTGGAAGTAATTTTACTGTCAGGAGTGAATGCGTCATCCTTTGGAACACGAAAAATGAAGTGAATGGGGAACGCTATTATAGCTAGCCTGTTTTTTGTAGGTCAGGTCTTTTTATTGTAGGCAAAGGTTTCTCTGCAGGGATGGCTCATGAACTTTTCAGTGCTGGAAGGTGCACTGTTTTCTCTTTCTATTTAATACTAGAAATTTGTGAATCTTGTCCAAGACTCAGGGGGTTCTGTTTCTGAAGCATCTAAACAGCTATTCCAGTGCAGCATTCACACATTTATAGTTATTTTCTCTATAGAATATGTTATCTTCATCTTCCAACTTAACTGCCTCAGAAGTAGATTTTATGCTAGCCTCATTTTGGTACGGAATGTGGAATTTTAATGACAAATCTGGCTGGTACAAGTCCAGTTAACAGTTTGACACCACTATAGATTTCTCTTGCGCTATATATAAAGAGATAAAATTAGATTGTTCTAACATTGTTAGCATGGTAATAGCAATGCAACAGGTGCCACAGAGCAGAAAACTGCCAAAGTACTGCAATTATATACCAAGTTACATTTTAGAAAAAAAAACTTATTTCACACACAAATGTCAAATAGGAGCTAAGTCCCTAATTTACATAAATCAATTGACATCATTTTACCATCTAAACCTAACTAAACCTTCATGTCCACATACGTAAGCTGTGGAACTCTCTGAGAAAAGTCTGTAAAAGGCTACCTGCAGTACTCTCAGCTGTTCACAGTGCAACTAATAATTCACCTACACTTTCCTTCAAAAGAAATATCATGCTAGCTAGGTGATGTTTTCTCATGTTTGAAACAGTAGTACACTAGTAGCAATACAGAAGTCAGTGCTCAGCACACCTATAAATTTGTCCTATTCTTTGCAAAAGAAAATTCTCAGATACTTTGTCCTCCTGACCACTGCTTACGGAAAGAGCCAGAAACTGAAGCCTTATCTCATTATTTCTTTCCACTTTTTGCTTACTCCACAACCACATCAACCCCTTTCGTTCAGCAGTAATTCCCTTCACCCATATGCCATCCCTCTCTTATTTACACATGTGGTCTCCCACAGGGGTCAGCACTGAGACCAATACTCTTTAATATCTTCTTCAGTGACACTGACAGAGGGGTTGAGTGCAGCCTCAGCAAGCTTGCTGATGACACCAAGCTCTGAGGTGCTATCAACACACCAGATCTAGGCCATCCAAGGGGCCTAGACAGGCTTGAGCAGGGGGCCCAAGTGAACCTCATGAAGTTCAACATATCCAAGACTGAGATCTTGCACCTGGGTTGAGGCAACCCTCTCTACCAATACAAGCTGGGGGAAGAAAGGACTGAGCAAAGCCCTACCAAAAAAAGATCTGGAAGTACTGGTGGATGGGAAGCTGGACCTAGCAGCGTGCCCTCACAGCTCACAAAGCCAACTGTATCCTGAGCTGCATCAAAAGATGCATGGCCAGCAGGTCAAGGGAGGCGATCCTGCCCCTCTACTCTGCACTGGTAAGGTCTCACCTGGAGTACTGAGATGTGGAGTTCTCAGTACAGGAGAGATATTGACTTGTTGGAGTGAGGACCACAAAAATTATCAAAGGGATGGAACACCTCTCCTACAAGGACAAGCTGAGAGAGCTGGGGCTCTACAGCCTGCAGAAGAGAAGGCTCTGAGGTAACCTGATAGTGGCCTTTCAGTATCTAAAAGGGGAGCTACAGCAAAGAAGGGAATAGGCTCTTTAGCAAGGTCTGATGTTACAGAACAAGGAGAAATGGCTTCAAGCTCAAAGAGGGTAGATTTAGGATGGATATAAGGAAAAAGACTTTTACAGTGATGATGGTGAGGTACTGGAACAGGTTGCCCAGTGATGCAATTGATGCCTTGTCCCTGGAGACTTCCGAGGTGAGGCTGGATCAGGCTCCAGGCAACCTGATTTACTTCTGCATGTCTGTTCATTGTATGGGAGTTGGACAAGATGACCTCTGAAGGTCCCTTCCAACTATAAGGATTTTGATTCTATGATTCCTTGATTCAATATGGAAATCATCACATAAGAAAGACTATCTACATTAGACTTCATTTTTAATCAGATATCTTCTACAGGCTTAATAAGAAAAAATTAAGCCCCCTCTAAATTAAGGCAATTTTTGGAATCAGAGTCTATAAAATAATTTCATTTCCTTTACTATACTTCAAAGATACTTCTACAGTTTTCATTATCACATTTACTAAATCTAGGGGTTAAAAAGGTCATTATCATCTTTAGTACAAGATATTGTTTTCATTTTCTAAATTAAATCCTTGTACTATATTTAACTTCAAGAGGAATTGCTACCATTTACTAGGTTACATAAGAGAGAAAGTATTGTTAAAATTCACTATAAACCTTAGTATGAGGCCTTTAGCATAAGCCTCCCTTTGTACAAGTCAAGAACATCTCAAAAACACTTACCTGGAATCGATAAAATGTGCCATCATCCTTTAGTGTTAGAACATGGTCTGAGATTGGAAAAAAATAACCATGTGCTGCCATCAGTGTTCCCAAATGTAGAGCTTCCACTGTTTGAATATCAAAACAAGATAAAAACAATTTTAGAAGTTAGATAACTTAAGCAATTCAGTTTTCTATTTCCTGCATATAGCCTCTTACTCCAGGTCCTGGCATCATGAAAGATTCTTTTTTTTTCTTGGTAATGGAATGATACAACAAAAAAAGTCTTTACTTTCTTTAATCACTGGCCATTAGACATTACATTTGGTAGCTGTAATTTCACATCAGCATTAGTGGGTGGCTACTGTGACATTCACATACTTGCTCCAAAGGTGAAAACAGCAATCACTTTTATCCTGTTGGCTTCATTTTCCTCTTCAGAAGTTTCAGATTACACAACATTAAAATAGTTGACTCCAACTATATTATATATTCCTCACTAGCTTTACCAGAAAAATAGTAAAGAACAGAAGTTTTCTTAAAAATCTCTCAATATTGGGAAAATAATGAAGGATTGCAGAATCACAGACTAACTAAGGTTGGAAGGGAGAGGTGATCTAATCTAACCCCCCTGTTCAAATAGAACTATCAAAGCAGGTTGTCCAGGACTGTGTTCAGCAGGTTTTGAAGATCTCCAAGGACAACACTCCACAGCCTCTCTGGGCAATCTGTGCCAGTGCTCAGCCATCCACACAATAAACAAGTGCATCCTGAGTACATCCTGATATTTAGATGGAACTTCATGTGTTCCAGTGTGTCAATTGCCTTTTTTCCTGGTGGTTGGGTACCACTAGAAAGAGTATGGTTCCATCTTCTTTACGCATCCCTCTTCAGGCATTTTTAGACATCAGAAAGATCCCATTGAGCCTTCTTCAGGCTGAACAGTCTTAAGTCTCTCAGATTTACCTCGTAAGATAAATGCTTCAGGTCCTTCATCTTTTTGCCCTTCTTTGGGTTCTCTCCAGTGTGTCCATAACCAGCCGGTACTGGAGAGCCCAGAACTGGGCTGAATTCCATTCTCTTTAGTGAATAAAACCATCATACCTAACAAGTCACAATTATATGTGTGCTTGTATTTTCAGTAAACCATTGACCATTATCAATCTCTGAAGTCTAATTCATTATCGTTAATATTTGGTTCATAATAACATCAAGGAAGAGATGGTCATTAGTTAGAGTCATTCTCTTGATACTGTATTTAAGTCCTAGTCTTTAGCATACTCTTTATTAACAACGTAAAAACTCTAGTGCATGCCCCTAAAATATCTGTGCATATATGTGTGGGGTCTAGGAGAGGTGGAGCCAGGCTCCACCCCTTCCAGTAGCACAGGTGAATTACCTTCACCTGTGCTCCCAGGGCTGACTCATTGCTCATCTCAGGTGGTCAATCAGAGGTTGAGGCCATGATTCAGCAGTTCCATACAAGCATAAAGAGGTTTCAGGCACAGTATTATCATGCAGAAAAAAACTTGAGTTCTCAGATCTGTGTTCTTTACAAGGATGATAGAATCATTTATGTTTCGACCATTTTCACTTTGAACACAAGGATGAGATGCAGACATGTTTTTTCATTGATATTTCATCAGCATTCCAGAAAATTCCCTCTTTTGCCTATTTGCTCTCCTAAGGATGGATATTCATTGGTATACAAGATACAGGAGGTAGAGTGGGATGTTCTTAAGCTATCCCAAAGCCAGCAAGCACGTGTAAGAAGAATGACAGGGGTCTGAACAGTAGTTTATTGAGAGCACAACAACCTTAGAAGGGCTTATTTGATACCCAACAATCCTTGCGATCTCTGTGTTTTCCACAGTCTGTGATCTCTGGTTCCTGCCCCTCTGGCAGAGCCCTTATCTAAGAAAATCCAACACTCTCTCTCTGGCAGTGAATTCCCTAATCTGCTATAAAATGCCATAGCTCTCTTAACAAGTCTTTTCCAAATTACAAGCCTACAAGAAAATTCAACGAAAGAATGCAGTTGCATCTCTCCCAGCACTTGGGATTTGCAAACCCACACATGAAGTTTATCCTAATTAGCTTAACCCCAAGTATTGTTGTTATTCATCTACCTCAAGCTACAGAATTATATTATCCTTTGGATAAGATACTTTGAGCAAAAACATTTTGTGGTGAGTCAGTTGCTGATTTTCTTTTCATTTTGGTTGACTTTGCTTTTTTAAAAATTTTATTAATTGTTTCTTTGTTCTTCACACTGCAAGTTTATAAAGGTTTTTTTCCAGGCTTTATGAATCCTTGTGGAATAAGAGTAAAAAAAAAAAAAAACAAAGGAAAAAAATGTGCTGACTTTTTCAGGGAAAGATTTCTTAGATTAAGGGTGACAGGGCTTACCAAAGAGTTCTTGACGCAGATGAGAATGCGTTCCATTCAGATATAAAAGAAACTAAATATATTCCAGATTTGCTTCATGCTTTTCTTGATTTCTTAATTGTGATATTTTTCAAGAACACAAAGAGATCACATTATTATCTTTTACCCAGCAACCATTAGAGTACATCTGGGCTACCATGACCAGTTGTGAATACCACATCTGCTTCAATACAAGAAAGACATAAGTGAACCTGGCTGAGTCCAGTTAAGGGTCGCTGAGTTGGCTGGGGAACAGATCACTGCCCTGTGAGGAGAACTTGGAGGAGATAGGCTTGCTCTTGAAAAAGAGAAGATTTTGGGTGTGCCTAGCAAAAGTCTTCCAGTTACTTAGAAGAGATTACCAAATAACAGCCATGATTTTTATAAAGGTGCATGACAAACGAAAATTAAGAGAGACAATGGTCATAAACTAAATCAGGGGTGGTTCTGACTTGACATATGGAGAACGTTTTCACGCTGAAAGCAGCTAAGCAGCAGAAGAGGCTGCCCACATAGTCTGGGTCCTTGGTGAGTTTCATGACTGAAGGAGCTAAAGTCCTGGACAGCCTGCTTGATCTTATAGTTTATGCTAATTAGAACACAGCATTGGACTAGAGACCTCCTGAGGTCCCTCTTAACTTGAAACATATTACAGTTCTGTGACTCTTAAGTGGATGAAGCAGAAGTGAAACAAAGAGCAGAAAACAAGGATGTGGACAGTTGAAGAATAAATTATTTGAAAGCTGCCAGAGCAGCCTATAATCCTGGGAAGGCTGGTTACAGTAGGAGTAAGAGTTGATACTTCTCTAACTTACTGCTGAGAAACTTACTGTGTACCCAAGTGTACAGTCACTACTGGCTCTCTACAGAGAAACAGAAAAGACTGTGATAGTTTTCTCTAGGCAATTAGAGCAATTAAGGTCAACTGAGATCTGAATTGTTCCCCATAGCAGCCTATGTCTCATCTTCAGCTATGCATGGAGACTAAGAAGGTTATACTCTCACCTCAAGTACCTTATTCAATTAGGATGAATCTACACTGACTCAGTGTTAAGGTATCTCTCTGTAGAGCCATTATGAGGTAATAGGGACACATAAACTTCCCTGTATTTTCCTTCAACTAATAGACAATTAATTTAAATTTGTATGACTATCAATCTAGCAATTTATTCCAGCACTGCATAAATATAAATGAAAAAAATATATTCTTTTAACAGCAACCTAAGATCCTCTGTAGCTCACACAGGTAGGAGCAGTACCTGTTCTAATAAAAGAAAAAAGAACAAAAAAAAAGAAAGAAAGAAAGAAAAAACATAAGTGTATGGTATAATAAAGACATTAACAGAACCATTTACTTGGTAGTCTAAAATCCTCTACATTAATATAACCTCACAATGATGCAACTGCATAACCAAAGCATTTTTGATTTGTACAGAGACTGTATAACACATAAATCAAATACAGATCAACTAGGTGAAAAATGTTCACAAAACTGCAAATGGTTGAATAATGTCAGAAATCTGCAACCCTGCCTCACATCAGACTGACTCAAGAATAACACTGCTCTTCTCTGCAGGACGGCAATGTAATTTCCACATAGAATGAAAGGATTTTTATTTCCAGGCTACAAAAGGAACACTTAGATATACATCTGATTTTGCTAAAATCAGACTGAAAATCCAAATGAAGTACAATTGTAGGATTCAGGAAACAAAACCAGGAAACAAAACCATGAGCTTGAAGAGGAGAATGTAGCCAGCAGCAGACTAGTCCTACATGCCTAAATGCCTAGAAGTTCAGTTCAGACAGCTTCATTAGTCCCCAGGTATTCCTGTATGTGGAGTTAGGGGATTTTGATCTAAAAAAGCATCTTTCACCTAGAAGAATGGCAGAGGAAGATTAGGAACATTAAAAACATTGTGAAGTGAATTAGAAAAAAGAAAAAAGAAAAAAGAAATCTGAAAAAATACTTTTAGATATAAAAGTTACCACTTAAGAAATTTAATTACTTATATATATTCAGAATAAAAAATCCAAAAATAGGAGGAACATAGACTAAAAGCAATAAAATACTACTTCTTACATGGCAACTGTACACAAACATGTAATGTGATATATACATAACAATTATTTCCAGGTAGTCAATATGCATATAAATATGCAATACATATGAGACTACATTGTCAATTTCACCTAGACAGTCTCACTGAGAAGGTATAAGTCAATTGCAGCAGAGATACCACACAAAAATTTGAAAGAAGCAAATCTCACAGAAGTGTAGCTGGTAGAACAGAGGAGATTTCAGCTTCCTCTCTTCTTGACTGCTTGTTTTGGAGATGATTAGTTATATGAATTAAGGTTCCAGGCATAACTTCCTAGCAGTGACAGTACAAGTAAGTAGAAAGAAATGTTCAAAAACCAAAATCACTAAAATCACTCTTAATTTTTTGGGGTGAAAAAGGGCATTATACTGCAGGAGTTCTACGTTAAGAATATATAACAGAAAAGTATTAACTGAAAGACAAATTTTGGTCTTTATCAGCCCAATTTATTTCAACAGGATATGAAATATTTTGATATGAATTCAAAATACTGCTGTGGGTGGAATTTTGACTCTTACTGTGTATGCTATTGCTGGACTAAAAGCTGAGAAGAAGTTTAAAATTTCATGTTTCCCTCTGCTGTAGAACTTTAGCTGAGT